CTATGCTCATCATCACTTTCACCTTCTCATCCTGCCCGTCACCGGCACCCTCATTGTGAAATTACCCTGGGTGGGTAATATCAGTATTGTTGAAGAAGACCCCTATTTTCACCCGATAACCCCCTTCAAAAGTGGTGCCATACGATGGAGAATTAAATTCTGCACCTAATACAATCATTTATGGAACCAGCAGAGCTCTGCAGGCGAATCCGGACCAGAAAAACGTGAATCTGGTGCTAACTTTAGCTATGTTAAAAAAAGAGTCAAATCTTATGAGAAAGTATGTTAACTTAAAGAATTATTTAGTCTCGAGTTTAAAATGGTATGAGTAAATTTAAGTTGCGTAAATGAAATGCCTTTATTGACAATTTGATAGTATCTAGAAAGAAATCTGTTGAATCAAATAGTAACACAAATAGGATCTCATGTCTGTTACTGTGATTATATCTATTATTAGCCACTTATTGTAACCATATAAAAGGTTTTGACGAAAAGTCAGATTAAAATCGAGTTTTTGATTAACAATCGAATAGTCATTTATACAATTTTAACAATCGATTAAAATAAATTAAAAATAATTATTATGAAATGCAATCCATCATTTAGTTTCAGATATCATATTAAAATAAAATAAAAAATAATGTCATTATAATCTATTAAAATTCGATTATTAATCGAAAAATCGGTTTTAATCTGACTTTTCGTCAAAATTTTTTTACATGAGTTTCACATAGAACAACTTGGATTTCTTAGATCTTTGGTATTATAGTTCAGTTCATGTACGTGCAGTGCACCCTGCAAATTCAATCTCAGACAGAAGAATTTGTCAAATTAGATCTTGAGAAAAATTATGTCTAGCTGATGTGCACTGAGCAAACCAAAATCCACTTTCGCAGTCTGTTTTACCAGTGTATTCAAGCGATACTGCTAATTAAACATTTCAGTTCCAATCTTACACAAATCTGTCTCGATTGAGAGACCCCATACAACAATATTCAGCATACTGTTTCTAGAGTGATCATTTTCCACACTTAATACAAAACCATAGAATAATCTTCATGTGGACAGAAAATTTTTTAAACGAAATCCGAAATTAACAATTGATAATTTGTTGATTTATTGATAAAAATCTATAGAATGTATATGTGAAGAGAATTTTACAAGGCAAGGGACGGTGTCGACCTCAGATTCTTTTATGAAAATTTGTAGTATTTTTGATAGATTTGAAAAAAATGCTTCAAAGCTCGGTTCTTCTAGTAGCGCAGTTCTGATTTTACCACTATATCTAAGCAAAGTAGTTCGTCGTCGTTAACGACTGTGCAAGGACACTACAATAAAAAAACGATGATCTTAGATCACACCGTTTACAGCTGGCACTCACAATATCTTTTGGTATAATCCGAGTGTCGTTTACAGTCGCCGTATTATTACAGTAATCGTAAACGGCTAACGTTTACGGTCATTGTTTACGATGAGCGTTACACACTGTAAAGCATCGTATATGATTGCTGTAAACGGTCACTGTAAACGACTGCCGTTTGCGATATCTTACGATGTTATCCGAACGTCGTTTACTGCCGCCGTATTTTTACGGTTGTCGTAAAGGGCGAACGTTTACGGTCATTGTTTACGATTAACGTAATACGCCGTAAAACATCGTATATGACTGTCGTAAACAGTCACTGTAAACTACTGTCGTTTTTCGCCGTAAATGATTGTGTACGGCCGTTTACGGCCGGGCATGAACGACCTGGGAAGGAAAGAAAATAATATGTGACTTATCACTAGCGTGCAAAGTGAGAGAATGAACTATCTGTGTTCAGAGTTATACATAGCGTTATTTTACTTTTCTAATACTGATAATTCATTAGAAACATTCGAGAATATTATTTTTATGCTCTTTTTTTATTTGCAATGGTATCAAAAGAAAAACGTTTAACTTTATAATGTTAAAATACATGAAAAATAGAAAAGTAGAAAGTGTACTATTTCAATTTTAGACCATGTGTTATGCGGAGATCCAATAAATTTACGATCGTACGATTTTTGTATATCTTCATATAATTGTCAAATATAAATGAATAAGTCTAGTTCGCAGTACATCGAACTACTACATTAACTCTTCTACATATTTCTTTTGATACTCATGGTATATAAGACGATGAAGAGATATGAAAATAATGCAAAAATTAATTATTGATCTTTCTTTGTTGTATCATCTTCCTTGGTGTATGGAAAATAAAACTATCATCTTGTGTAATGTTTCTTCTACGCAGTGCTAATGTAAGAATCAGTAATTTTAATCATTTTAATAAAGCATCTTGATAAATCTGAAAATCTGATCTTTGAAAGACTGAGAAATAGGAATTCGTCATCGACTCTTCCATAGTTGTCAAAATGAAAACACAGTATACAGGATATGTTTTGCTCTCAAATTTATATTAATGTAGAAATGTGTGGTTGTGAAAACCTTTTACAGAAGATGCAGTACTCTGACAATGATGAATATCGCAACCAGAGATGAGATCGGTTAGTGTTGTTTTGATATCGAACTAATCTCTGGTCAGAACTGACAATCAGTCATTGACTTATCCAGAAATTTTCATAGCTCTATTAAAAGTTCATCAACTGTTTAGAACAGAATTCCTATTTTTCAGTTCTTCGATATATAAGCACGTTAACATATCGAGAATATAATGACAGACACATGTAAATATAAATTGAATGTTAAAAGAAAATAATTGTTCAAGGATATCAACATATCAGTTTCAGGAATCTAGGAAAATACAAATATGTGAATACATTCTAATGCTGAGTTCACTTACATGAACACTTGATCATTTCATTTCAAACATAACATAGTAAATATTCTGTCAAAGATTTAAGTATATATGATTCGAGTAGTCTTGGTCTTAATCGATGATAATATATGCTTAAGAATGATAAACTTTTTCTTTTCAGTAAAGACAAAATTTGATTATCATTGTATTTTCTTGATAGATTAATTACTTCTGTACAACACCATAAATTAACTTCAATTGTCTGGATCTTTTCGTTTTCAAGCTATCGAAGAAGATTGTTATGATTATTGATTCAATTGAATAGAAAATAGTAACTCACATTATGTCTGATTGAATGAAGAATCAATACTTCAATTCTTTACTTTTCCAAGTAAAAAGTAAATTCTAATTCGCGCCAGAATGTAATTCCAAGTTTTCTATATTGAACCATAATTACAGGAAATTCATTGATTCTAAATAGAATAATACAATAATTATTCTTAGTTAATAAATAAATATTTTATTAATTAATTATTTTACTCTGATCATGTATAATCGAAATAAAACTTGTCTCTATTTAATAATAAAAAATATTTATAAATTATTAGAAAACAAAATCGAATTATACTGTTTTGAATTTTCTTCCTCTCTATTTGATTTGATCGATGAAAAATTCAAAAATAGAAAACATTTCTTAAAATTCTGGTTTCGAATATTAATTTAACATTTAAATGACAATAAACTTTATTCGATAACAGTAACAAATTTTTTTTCTTCGAACAAAAATAAAAAGAAATCATGCAAAGGATTTTCTTAACGAAATCTAATTATTTCTGATGTAAGAATTTGTAAAGTATATACTATCAATATTTTTCTTACCATATTAATAATAAGTTCAAAACGTCAATATCGAAGTTATAACTACGTTATAAAATTTAACGCCTTCACAACCTCAATGACTGTTTCAAATTCTATTTGACGTGTATATATATATATAAAACATGATGTACAACGCAAATCAATAGAAATTTCTTTATACGCAATAATAAAACACATGATGCTCATCAGCATGACACAACAATCTAGAAAGTACATTCATTTAATGGTAGTTCAAGCAGTGCTTGCATTAGTCATAATGTGCATAATGGAAAGTACTAGATCAATCTCAAACAATTTTTTCTAACTTGAATGAAATTACATAAATTGAGTCATGTTCTTTTCTTCGAGTTGTAAAGGTATGTAAGTACGCAATAAAATCACATGGCTCAAATGTTTTTTTTGTTATTTCTGCATGCGTCATATAATGCGTAGATAACATTGATTAGAACAACTGAAAGAAAAAAAAACTTGTCAGTACAGATTGTTTAAAGCTGACATATGAAACTGATATCTAGTCTTTCGTCTCAAAATCTTCATCATCATTGGCTATGATACATTTCTAAATAGTTGCTAATACACTTTTACATGTTTGTGCATCATGGCTCTGTTGTAATTAATTTTGTTTCATGAAATATATGCTATTCTTTTTCTCTTTTTGCGTTCTTCTCTTTCGATGCATCTCTCTCCAAGTAAATATTGATGCATGAAAGGATATGAAAAAGAGAATACGTTTCACATTAGATTGCATGTTTTTGTGTTTCGAGGAAGGGTTTTCTTTTTGATTTTGAAGAAATGCATGGTAAGCAAAGACATAACAATTATACTAATAGAGAATAATTAATGTGAAAAATTTCTGGCAGATGATAGTTGTTTTCCAAGATGATCGAATACCAGAGAAAAGATCTCTCTTATTTATTTCTGCATTTCGAACAGAAATTTTTCTTTTACTTGTGCTCTATTTGTTGTTTGCTTTGTTGCTATTCGTGCGTTATTTTTCTTTTTCGTATGTTGTATTATATATTTCGTTAAGCTCAGAGACACTGATATTGATTATTTCTCAAAGTTATGACTTGATCAAATGATACTTTTTTTATGTTGATCTTATGACGAGTATAGCAAATCAATGCATCACTATCCATCATCCTTGAGATTTTGAATATAAATTGTTATCTGCACAAAAATCAAAAACTGAGTGTGAGTATGGATGTGTAGTGTTCAGTGTATCTACACCCACACCCACATCCACACCCAAGATCAATAAATATTGCATGATTATCAAATAATAAGAAAGGCTTTAAGTAACATCTGGTTTATATATTAAATCGAAAAAAGTTTATAACGTCAATGAAGTATCTTCTCATTTGTTGATTCAGCCTCTGATATAAATTGAACGGTAGACCATTCCGGAGATATTTCCGGCTGCTCGCTAAACTGCTGTTGAGATATTCTTTCTGCTTCTTGCTCGATCATTGCTTGTTGAACATGAGTTGGTAGACCTGGATTGAGACCCAAAACGTAAGGTAACAGTGTTTGGTGAGTGTCTCCAAAATCAACCATAATTTTAATGAACATGGTGTCGTCTCGTACATAAGGATTTCCTTGTTGAATTATTTCCAATGAGAAAAATTTTGGTATACCACTAGTTATATTCATATCCGATCGAGGTCGTTGAAAACTACTCGATCTAATATCTGGTCGAAATGAATCAATAATACGTCGTTATGAAGGTGTTTGATCATACAAGTAGAATGAGACTTTATAGTTGAAAGGAAATTTTAGAATTGGATCGTTGAGGCCTCGCATGAGCACAAAAAACAGTGACATGTGTGTACGACGAGCATCACCATCTCCATTTAAGTAAACACGAGCTCTCATTTTATAACCAGTTGGAGATGAATAAAATGGAGGTGAATAAATTGATGTTTGTCCTTCAGATTGTGCATCAACTAGAATTTAAGTAAAACAAATAAGTATAGAAGAGTAGAAGCAAGTATAAAAGAAATTCGACATATCGACAAAATTAATGATTCATTTCATCAATACATCGATATATTTTCTATGCACTACGTCTTTGGATAACTGTATATTATGCAAATCATACTAATCGACCGTGTGTTTACCATTTGTCAATGTTATTTAAATCAAGTTCCTTCTTATTTTCTAATTATCCTTTCAAAAAATATTCTACTTTTATCATTCGTAAGCAGTGATTGTTCAACTTACTCATTTTTTCTTGAAAGTTTGTAATTTTCCATATCAATGCTCCATCATATGAAACATGTCGCAAATCATCGATTTTTTCTTGCAATGATGCTAAATCTAGATTGAGAATGTCTTGATTATGTTTCACTCCTTCTAGAAAAGCATTTGATTCTTCAATCGATAATTTAACTTTTGATAATTCTTCTGTCAATGTTGGAATTGTTACTTGAATTTGAAGTGATTCATTGCTCAGACGTTCTTGGTCATTATTCAATGTTTCAATACCACCTGACAAGATGTTGAGCATTTCAAAAAGCTCTTGTAATTGAGTTGTGACTAGATCACAAGTTTCAGCTGTTGTTATTTGAGAAAGATCATTATCTACCTGTCTACCGCTTAATTGCAATAACATTTGACGAACAACTTTCATTATAGCATGTTGATGCTGTTCAGTTAAATAATGAGCTTCCATTTTGGGCACGGATAATCTCAAGAAAAAGAATTTTTAGATTTTGATTTCATCGAGAAAACATTCATACTTGTTCATTACAACCAAAGTCTTTCAATATACAATCAACAATCAGTTTCTCACATTCGGAGATTTTATGCTCATTGTATTTGTTAACTGAGTTGAATTCTTTGCTACAATATTCGCATTTCAAATTTGAATAATGTTCATCTAGATGTTCCTTTGAAAGAAAAAGATAGAATATTCATAAATAATTTTAATCTAAAATAAATTACCTGATAATTATTTAAGACACCAGTCCATTGGCGAGAGAAACACTCAATAGGTATTGATTTCATATCATTTTTGAAACCTCGGTCAAGCAGAATCTACATAAATCAAATATATTTTCTCTTTAACTAAGAAGAGATATGTTATCTCTGTTCGTGATGTTTCAGATTGACATTGTCGACATTTAATTATTATTCTTGAAAAAGAATAATGAAGAATAAAACTAGAAATTGATAATGAAACTTACTCATGTTCGGCATCGAAACACGATTGACATTGTCGATGGCCACATTCATTTAATTGTACAGGATCTCGTAGTATCAATGTACAAACAGGACAAATGTATTTTATATCAAGAATATGTTTATTTTTTGCATTGATGCCTACCATTATTTTATTTAATTAATATAAAACGAATGTTCAATGTTACTTAGAAATGAAATCTATTTCTTTTTATCTATGTGTTTTTTATTGTCGTTTTCTCTGCAGATTAATATTCAAATAGGTGAAAGTTTTTCGGAAACTGTCAAAAGGAATGAAACTAGCTTGCTTCTTTAACAAGTGAACAGAAACAAATAATGCTTTGAAATGAAGGGTGGGGTGTGGGCGTGGGTGTGTGAGTATGGGTGTAAGTGCAGGTGTGACTAGGTGCGTTGGTATAGCATTTCTTTACCCAGATTGGCTCGTTTCTTAATTAAAAATTTTGTGATGTTTCTTGCAATATTGGAATAAAATTTTCTTTTTCGAAGAAAATTGATGATTCTGTTTTGATACTAGGAAGAAAGCGTTCTCTTATACGTATTCTCCTTATATTCTTTTCAAGGGAAAATCGACGAAGGGTGTGGGTGGATGTGAGTGTAAGTGTTGGTGTGAGACGTGGGTATGAGTGAGGACTTTGTCTTTGTATCCACACCCACATTCACACCCAGTTTTTGTATATGTTTAATCTATGACTGATCCAAATTGATTGATATGAATAAAAGTTTGCATTCTAGAAAATGTTGAAAATCATGTTTATTGATTATGTGAAAAGCAAATTACGAATAGTGGAAAAATAAAAATTTTTTATCAAATATTCATAGTGAAAATAAAATAAAATTCGGATGAGTCTTCAGCAAGTTCCTTCTAATAATTGCAATGAATGGTTCAAGTCAACTCAATATGGGACGATTTTTAAGAGTTTCATGAACTTGAAGTATTTCATAAGTACAATCAGTGTGTGAAATGTTTTGTGATGAAGGATTACGTCTGTCAACCGTAGATGTCGACGAACTAAAAGCGAAACAAAATGTATGAAATGTCGATTGAACAAAAATGTTTATCATCCTATCTTACGCATCATTATCATCATTATAAAATAAATTGCGTGCATTTAATGCTGCAATATCAGCTTGATGAACTACTGATGGGATAGCTTCAGCAGCCGATGAGCGTGGATCGGCAAAGCATAAATGAAATGTTAGTAATTGCAATTGATTTGTCGTTAAACCGATGCCATTCAAAAGTACATGATAATGTGATGGTCGATTCACACCTTGAAAGGCATTGTGAGAATTTAAATAGAAATTAATATGATTTCGATGAACAATGGTCGTATCAATAACAGCACCGATAGACATATTATCAGTTTCACGGGGTGGTCTTCTCGTTCTTCGAAAATTGCCATTTGATGATGATTGATCAGGATTTGGATTATAGGTAAAAAAACGTGTATTATGACGTTTTTTTACAATAATTAATGTCAGAAGAGGATGTCGAGTTTCGTCACCATAGATATCTAATACAAAAGAATTTTCATTTGAACATTTGAACTAATATATGAGATCAATATCTTACTCGTGAATGCTTGACGAATCGCTGGTATTTCATAATCATGGATTTTACGAAATTGTCCATCATCAATACCTAAATAAATAGTTATAGTTGTTTTTTTATTAGAAAATTATCTAAAAAAACAAAGTTAACTGATATTTACCATCGCGGTAGAAAACTATTTTATTTGGTAAGACACCATTGAGTTGTCGATTATAGTTCAATAGTTGTTCAACCATTTCTGCCATGCCGAGAATTGTTTCCATTGAACATTTCCCATGTTTTGGATACTGTTTACAAATACGTGCAGCTGTACGTGAACAAGATGAATCACCAGAACCGACAATGACTAGAAATAGATTTTCTTTGAATTTCTTTGTCATCAAACAAAAATATAAAAATACCTGCGATCGATGGATGTTGACGACTAGTATTCGTCGGATGTATGACGTCGGCGCCGAAAAACATAAATGAATCATTCTTTGACTTAGCATTACCTAATGCTAAGTCTAAATTGACTCTGGTATTACAGCCATCATTTTTAAAATTAATTTTTCGTATTAAATTCTCGCAATAATTTCCCAGTTTTTTGTCATCCCTAGGCATGTCTGATAATATAGCACATTGTGTCATAATACCTAAAATTTTGAAATCAATGGTTGATTCTTTTTTAAATGAATTCTTTCAAAATAAGTTACCATATAAGATTGTACCACATGTTTTAATACAACGTTTAAGTTGTGTTAGATCATTTTGACTGTTTGCATTCATAATGCAAACTACAAATGTATATTGTTGTTGTTGCATTGAATGAACATATTCGTCGATACTGTGCATATCATTCGGTATTTCTGTCTCAGGTAATTTTACATGTTGTATATTGATATTGAAATTTCGCATCATCTACAAATATAAACAATTTATTTTTCTTCTATGCACAATCAAAGTTCAAGAAGTTTTTACTTCGCGTAGTATAGAATGAAATTTATTAACTAAACCTTTATTTCGTTGGTAATCTGTTCCAAAATAAGCTATGGCTAACTTTTTGATAGATTTAGGTTCGAACAGATTTCCATTGAGATAAATGCGTCCATTATCAATGCGAGCTCGATTTGATGGATTTGTCTGAATTTCCGGTAAGGTTAAAATTCGAGCATCTAGTTCTAACATTTCGTTTGTAACTATTTTAAAATCAAGCCGACGACAAAGTAAATTTGATGATGAGTTATAATCGCATTTAGCAAGTGTATCCATAATTGCATTATAACGATTTTCTGGTGTAGGTAATCCTTCGTCATTCATCTGTAATTCAGGAATCTAGAACAAGGAATAAATTTTATTAATCTATCTGGCCATGTCATCAACGAAAAACTTACTGGTTCATCATAAACTTGCCATTCTTTAATACGACAAAGTTCCAATGGTAGATGGCATGATGAATTTGATCCATTTTGTGAATATACTTCAATACATGGAAAATCTGTTTGAGTTAAAGTAAAGCCTTTCTTTTCGTAATATTCAATTAGAGAATCACCGGATTCAGTATATATTTCGCCCGGTCGTCGACGATCGAATTGTACGATCTCATAGGATGTTTTCCAATTCGATTGTCTCGTTACAACGAGACAACCTTTTAATATTCTCGTTAATTGTTTGCATTCATAATCGGATGGAATTCGTCTTTCACCTATTTGTTTATCGATGAAATCTAATAGAGATTGTGGAGAATAAAATTTTGTTAATTTAGTTTGAATATTTAATGTTAAGCGATTTGAAGACAAATTCAGTGCTTGAATAAAACCATGCCGTTGTTCAAAACCATTCATAAGATCTTCCGATTGCTCATTGAAAAAGTAACATTTATTATTGATGACTTTAATTCGATCTTGAATCGATCGTTTCAACAATGTGTCCAAGATACGTATTGCATCATGGGGATATGCATCAGTTTTACCATTCATATATTCATTTATATCATTGGTTGACCAAGGGTCCGTTGATGATTTGATTTGAAGTCGATTTCGACCATTTTCACTAACTTTTGTTTCTGGCGTAGATATATATGCTGTACTATAAAGACATTTTTGTTCATCATACCAAACTGGAACATTGGGCTCGAATTGATGTTCATGAATGAATGATTGCATAATGTGGGAACATCGCGAACGACCTTTGACTTCATACCAATCATTCGATCGCGAACCGAGTTCTTCAATGACTACATCATATTGATAAAGTAAAGTATCTTTATCAAATGAACAAGTAAAATGATTTGTAAATAGATGTTCGATTCTATTCAATGATGAATTTTGATTTGACCAGGACGCCACACTAGATGATTGAGAAATCTCTCGATTGGATTGATTGTAGTAATTTGATGCCATGATAATTTTCGTTTGTTTTGAGAAATATTTGAAATACTAAAATATAAAATTCATGAATGAAAGTACATTCAAAAATGTGGTTCATCAATATTTTTGAACAAAAAATTATCTCGAGCGTTTTGTTTCGTACATGACCATGGCGAGATATTATTCGAAAAATCTTTCTTTTCGATGAATGCTACTACTCCTAATGAATATGAATAGTCAAAATCAACTTTCTTAACATTATGTAAAAAGCTCTGCTACATAAAACAGAATAAGTTAACTTACCGAAGCTTATTGTATGTATGTGATAACATGAAATTATATTGATTTCCAGCTCGACTTTTATATATGAAGTTCTGAGTTTTTTCCCAAAAATGATAAAATGACTCATACAGATCTGTATGCAATCCCATGATGGGTAAGTTGATTCTAAAAATAAAGAAGTCCAGTAAGGATAGAGGACGCTTTTGCAATTGGTAATGACTCACATATAAACTCGACATGACACGTCAATGCATTTGAATAACGGATATTATTGCTCTATATGAAATGACTAATCAAAGTAATGATATGTTGAAACTAGTTCTGTTTGAATTTCACTTTATTGTAATAATAATTTAAAATGGCTTTGACATGTTTCTCTGGTGCATTAAATCCATTTTGCCGTCAGCCCATGTGCATATCATGGTGCTGTGGGTTAGGGGTGGCATTTTCCTGTTAATTTATTTTAAATTTAAATTTTGAAAAAATTAAATTTAAAATAAATGTAAATTTTTACTATAACAAAATTTATACTTAAAATAAGCTTAAATTTTCCGAATTTACCTTTAAAATAAATGTAAATTTTTGTTATACCAAAAATTTATATTTAAAATAAATTTAAATTTTCGAAATTTACATTTAAAGTAAATGTAAATTTTTGAAATTTTCATTTAAAATAAATATTAAGTAAATTGAAAAATTTTATTTATAATGTTGTTTCAAACAACATAATCCATGTCAGGGTCACATGTCTCTATCAATTATGTTGTTTCTCGTTACGGCCCAACAGGTATTTTTTCAACAGTTTATATTTCAAAAATAATTTTGTTTAGTAATTCTTTATTCCAATATTTGAAAATTATAACTGGGCCTTTAGACATTAGGGGGACTTTTTTACATTTACGCCAATTTACTAAATTCGAAAATAAATTTTGAAAAATTTAAATTTGAAATAAATGTAAACTTTTGCTGTAACAAAATTTATAATTAAAATAAATTGAAATTTTCGAAATTTGCATTTAAATAAATTTAAACTAAATTAGAGTTTTCTGTTTTGCCTCTTAGAATAAAAGCAACATTTCATATTAAATATATGCTACAGTATATCAAAAACAAATGATAGCCATTCCAATAGATTGAAATCAATTACATTTAAAAATCAGATTCGTATTTGAGACAACCTCCCATTCAACTAGATTTTTCAAATCATAAAAACAACCACAACCTAGTTTCAGATCTCATTTTTACATCTCATAAACTTAAAGAAAGCTGCGAAAAGCTCGAGTCTTTCAACATATGGTTATTATATCTTGCGAGAACAATGATGTTTTCTAAAAGCTACTGCCAGTAAAAGTGAACAACTCGTCCCTTCTTGCATGAATAACATAAAGAATTTTGATCGAACAATTGTTTTTGGCTAAGTAGTTTCCGTTTTGATAATATATATATATTTTTTTATTACCAGAGCAAAATAATGGGTAATGGTAGTAGCGCTCTTTCTATCGCTCACCTGGTGCATCTATCTTCACATGAGTAGATAGAACATCCAGCTAGCATTTTCGATTGTATCTGAAGTGTGAAACGATCAAAACAATATCTGTCGAGTATGCCTAGAGGCCAAGTTATAATTTTCAAACACTGGAATAAAGAATTACTGAACAAAATTATTTTTGAAATATAAGCTGCTCTTGTGTTTTGGCAATCAATCTTTTATCTAAACAATTTGAATTATGGATAGTGTTCTTAGTAAAATAATAATTAAAATTCAGAACTAATTTCACTGAAACATTTCATGTTATTTATTTAAATATGAACATTCATCTGGACTTTGCTCTACAGTTTTAAGCATACAAAAATAAAGAGGAAATAAGATTCAAAAAGAATATTAAAAAGAAATATAGAGAAAAAGAAGGTAATAAACACAAAATAAATGTACAGCCTACGTTCAAATTCATCAATTTCGAATGATTTCTAATACCGACATGCTTTCTATTAAGATTAAATTCAACACGACTTTATAATAGTTATATCAGGATTTATTGGATGTGAGTATATGTTCCTTCTCGTCGTATCGTTATTCATGCTCATACTCACCTCAATATCTACCCTCTAATGCAACTGATATATCTGATTCTGATGTAATAAAAGCATTACTTTTACCGAATTTCATACGACCAATTAGCATTTTAATCATTATCTCCTCGAGTCCTGTGGAACAGTTCCAAATTTCGAAAAATCTCGTTCGTCCCACAAGATTCTAATAGAGCAACATCTTTATGTTTCTTTTGGTCAACGGGACAAACAGGATTCAGAACTTGAAAAAAACAGCTTGTCCTATAAAACTCAACTATGTTTATTATTATTATTATTACTAGAATTCCCACAAACTTCTGACGTATCTAATGTATAACGTATTGTATCATGTTTACTTTCACAATGCAGATCACCACTGTACGTCATGTTTTCTAAAACAAAAAGCTTCAGATATAAATAATTAAAATTATACGGTGAGATGTTAGATTATATAAAAATATACATATAAAAAGTATAATATTTCTATGAAGCATATCAAAGGATGGATATCGTAATCAAAAAATATTCGAACTGTAAAATATCCGGACAGTATTGTTCTCTAGCTACATGTATTCAATTCGTTGTATCATTTTATGTATCATAGACACAATATTCTAAAGATAAGAATGCTGCATGAAAAATTACAGATAATCGGAAATGAAACCGAGTTTATAAAATATAATTCGGTTTTGTCAAACACCAAACCAAGAAAAAAACCAACTAAGATATATGTTAATTGAGAAACTTTGAATAACGAGAATTTCAAAAATAGTTTAAATTTCATGAGCCGAAAGTATCATATAATTTTCTTAAGATCAGTATCGAAATAAAAAAAAAAACAGATTCATATTAGGCATCATTCCTTCGCATCGATACTCTAATAATTCATTATTATTTCAATATAAAATACTTAGGACAATCCAAAAGTACTGGCAAAGGTATTTGAATTCCTTATAAAAAAAAAGTTGAAAGAGACTTTCTCTCAATATAGTCTGATAGTAAAAACAATGTTTCATTTTTCTATGGGATTTGCATGATCATTCTTCAACTAATATCATAATACCATAGAAAAATAAAACATTGTTTTTTACTATCAGATTATATAGAAAGAAGTATTTTTAAGCTTTTATGAGAAATTAAAATATCTTCGCTATTATTCGTAGATTGTCCTATGTAATATTTTACTTATCTAGCACAATCTTAATCTCCTTTATCTTGACGATTAGTTTCTCTCTCATAATATTTATTTTCTCTTCGATGCAAGTATGTATTTATAAAAACAAAAGTGATTAATTGTGATGTATCGTAGTCTGTATGCTAATCATTCATTCATGGTTTGATTTTGCTTGTATAACTGCACATACAGTAGTTGCAAAAAGTTATGCTATTAGACAAAAAAAGTTTCTATAGATTATTATTTTATTCAAAAACCCATTGAGAAATCAATCGATGATTGAGAATAGCCTACTTCGAAATAGTCTAATTGAAATTAAATTGAATTCTGACGATCAGATCTCAAGATCTAACCATTTTGAACTTCAAAACTACATGTTATTAATTTCAATGAGACAGAATAAGTAGTAATTATTTCCTTTCGTCTAATAAATAACAAATGTGACGAAAGATAGATTCGAATGATAGTTACAATATGAATCACAACATGCATCTGGTATTATAGTTTAATGTGTTGTAAATTATACCATAAAATATGATACGTTTTATGTACGCATGATCGCTTCATATAGACGCTTCTTCTATCATTTTGCATAAAAAATTTTAATAAAATTGTTATTCAAATCTTTTTTTATTTAAAACTATATATACAGAACACAATCCGACAAAGAAAAATTATTCAATAAAATTTATTGTTGACTACTAAGATGTGAAGTCAATAAACATATGTGCTGGAATTAATATAAATAAAACTGATAATAAGCAAATAAACAAACAAACAAAAAAAGCTTTCTTAAAAATAATTTTCTTTAATGGCAAACATGTTTGTCTTTGTTGCATTCAGCTTTACAAGCATGTTCTGCTTCCTTCATTTTAGCTTTACCATATTCGACTGCAGCATCAACGCGTTCACTTGGTTTTACAGTTGGATCACTAGCTTTACGTGCTTCTTCTTCGGCTTTTTTGCCTTGTACAGTTTCTTTTGCTTTTTCAATACCAGCTTTAATAGCATCCATTTTTTCTAAAGTAATTTAAAAAAATATATAATTGATAAGATAAAGTACCTTCTTGTTTTATAATACTTACACAGTGAGAATAGTAGTAGAGAGTAGTTTTGTACAGTAAAATAATAAGAATAAATGTATGAATGCGACGTATTTATTCCCTTCAAAAAGAAGGCGACGTAAACTCGATTTCTTTTTTCTTTCTTTCCTCTCATCTTCTTTTTTCTTTTACTATATTCGGTACACAGAAAGAAAAAAACGAAGGTCATCCACTACAAAGTCACATGCTTTTCATGTTTATGCGCCACGTGTTTTGTAGATGCGTTCTGTTTTCTACTCAATGCATTACAAAATAAATAAAGAATGTATGATTAGGAAGTCGTTTTTATTGTGATCTATACATTTCTATGGTAGGTATACTATTCGCTGGCAAATATTATGATAGAATAAATGTGCTTAGAGCTCATACAAGATCCTAATATATATCAAGAGAAATAATTTTTTTTTTACTATTTTTATTGAGCATTAAAAATAAATCAGAAAAAATGAATAAAATAATAATAACATCTTGAATAAAATACTACAGAATATTTACATAAAATAGTTTTATCTAATTTAATGTTTATGATCATGTGCTCTGCAATCGGCTTTGCATGCATGTTGACTTTCTCTGCTCGTTACTTTAATTTCATCAACACGTTCCGATGGTGCTTTTGATGGATCCGATGCTTGATCATGTTTTTCCTCGGCTTTTTTGCCCTGAAATGCTTCTTGTGTTTATGAATAAATTTTCAAAAACGCTTGGAAAATTTCAGAGTTTTATTTAAACGTTAGATATTTCAAGAAGGAAGCAATCGTTCTAACGGAAATTTTCAGAATAATGAGATCGGAAAAAAAATTGTTTGTTGAATATTTCTGACAACATCTAGTCGTATGATTAAAATTCAGTAAAACTGTCGTAACTTCATAGAAATACTTCGTGAGTCAGAATCCTTTTGTAGTTCTTCAATTCTACAGATCCTTTATATATGCCTAAACAATAAGCCAAAAAGTGATGAATAATTTTAGATAGAGATTCTGGTGAACGAATTGTATGTTTTGTACACAGTGAGAGTTTCATTACGGAGGCTTAGAAGGTACTCATCCGTTTTATAGATATTCAAATTATATTTTTTTACTTCAAAACCTCTCGATTATTGATTTATTGCAACAGAATAGTGTAATTCGAGGGATTATGGTAGTAAGTGTTAGATAAACAATAGAAGATTATTTATCAATCATTATATACACATAAGTACTTGACGTCTTTTTTGCCTCTTCTTCATTTCTTTTCTTTTCTGTCTGTTCTTCCATGCCATCTTTCGTCAATATATTAACTCATCTTCTTTTCTTCAACTTAAGGACATTTTCCATTTATTCGTTCTTCTTTTTTTCTTTTACTTAAGAACATTTGATCCATATTCGTTTTCTTTTTTTTTCTATTAGTATAAGGACATTATTATTATTCGTTTTTCCAACAAAGAAAGATCGCATTTGATTTTCCTATACACATCTTGTTGTTTAACCGAAAAGTATAAGTTATGTAACTGTAAGGCACCTCTTTTTTTTTTCAAGCAAATTTATGTGACACAAACTTATTTGAATCACAATAAAAAATAAAAGTTCAACCTCATTTTTATCAGAGATGGGATCGGTTAATGTTTTTCTTTTTTGAAACCCAACCAATCGTATCTTTAATATTCATGTTTGCAGTTCCTAGGGTGGGTGTGGGTGCTGGTGGCTGTAGATGAGAAATAAACCCATTCTTACACCGATACCCCATCCGCATCCCACACTTACACCCTGTTGTTAAGTGATGGACGAAGACCATTGATTAGATGTACGATCTTGTCCTTGTCAGACATTAAACTGTTATATTGACGACATAATGTAATAATATCGAAATAATAGGATTGAATCGATTCTGTGGGACCTTGACGTCGATTAAGTAGTTTAACCAATTTCTTCATTTCATGCTTAGGTGGTGCAAATGCTTTTATAAGTGCTTGTTTAACTTCAGACCATCGAAGCTCGACTACATTGTCGCGTTCGGCTTAGTACCATTTTTTAGCATTACCGATTAGATATTGAGAGATAAGTGCACGTGTGTCTTCGAAAGATAAACGTGCTGCATTGAAATGATCTCGGAGATCGGGAGTACCAGAAAAATTTTCAATGCCTTTTAAAATGAGTGAGTTAGTTGTTGAAGTAAGTGATGTAGTGGATGGTGGTGTTGTAGTAGATGATGTAGTATTAAATGACGATGCCGTTGTTTGTTTTGCTAATTCTCGATTACGTTTGTTTTGTGCTATATTGGTAAGGATTCGTGCATTATCACGGTGACGTTGTTTAGCGCTGCGGTAGAGTAAATCCATATAAGTATATCATTGTTGATTGAATTTCGACTTGGTATGTTTGATGAGATCTATATTCGTGCTGCAGTTGTAATTGAATGAGCACGCCAACTTCTTCACCAATGTTGTATAAAGGATATTTATATATATTATTATTCGAGGATTTCTTCCCTTTTTAAGGAATAATAACGATACACAGAACGTGTGTGTCTTATCTGCTTATTATTTCACTTTCCTCCTATGTATGAAAGTGAAGAGCATTTAAATAAGAATCATCATGATGATAATAAAAGAGAAGCATACTGTATAAAATATCAAATAAGGCAAAATACCAGTTGGTGATTCTGCTCCATAACAAGGTAAAAAGTGGCTATAAATGATGCTCGATGAGAACCCATCCTTGTAAGTGCTGATTAAAACCTTCTCAGCGGAACCGAACACAACGAATTGAAATGATCATTGCATGATGACTTGGTTTCTAAAATTCATTTATAAACACATCCCACATCTGCACTCAAGAATAAAATACTCGTTTTATTTTCTCAAGAAAGAGCAAAAATTATTTGAATGTAAATAATATAGAATGAAACAAAAATAAAAACATCGTGTCAAATAAAGATAAATATATGCAATATCATTGTTCTCTTTCGTATAAAATACTTTTATCTATAAAGCACAATTACATATACTGTCTTTTTTAAAATGGAACAAATACCAGTCTCTACAGTGCGATCATTACTATTGATTATATGTCGTTATTTAGTAATAATTATAGTAGTACTAATAGGATTGATTGGTCAGTTCTTATATTGGCTTGTATTTGATTCATTTGGTCGTTATGAAAAGCGAGCTAAACTAAAATTAAAATGTATAAACAGTCAAAAAGATAGTGAATATTATGCTATTATAATCGGTGCTGGTTTTTCTGGTCTTGGTACGGCTATTAAATTAAATAAACTTGGAATAGATAATTATATTTTAATTGAACGACATGGATATGTTGGTGGCACATGGTATGCTAATAAATATCCAGGTTGTGCATGTGATGTTCCATCAAATCTATATTCATTTTCATTTGAACCTAATTCAAAATGGTCACATTATTTTAGTCGACAACCTGAAATAGCTGAATACCTTGAATATTGTACAGATAAATATGATATTCGTCGACATATACAATTTAATACAAATGTTACACAATTAAAATGGATTGATGAACGAAAATTATGGCAAGTTACAATTCAATCAAATAGTCTAGAAAAACAATTTTATGCTCAAATTATTTTTGCAGCTACTGGACTATTTTCTAATGCTGCTTATCCAAATGATATTCCTGGTATTGATAAATTTCAAGGTCAAATATGTCATACAGCTGAATGGAATCAATCGATTGATTTTAACAATAAACATGTAGCTGTTATTGGTACTGGTGCAAGTTCTATTCAAGTCGTTCCAGAAATTCAACGGATGAATGTACCACAATTATTTGTTTTTCAACGAACACCACCATGGATTATATCTCGAGTTGATCGGCGTATAAGTAATTTCGAAAAACGTCTATTAACATATTTTCCAATTATTCAAAAATTAATTCGAACAAGTATTTATTGTTCACTTGGAGCTTTAATATTATCATATGCTTATCGTTGGCCAATTCGTTATGTTAATCAAGAATTAGTTATAAATAATCTTAATAGAGAAATAAAAGATATAGAATTAAGAAAAAAAGTTACACCAACATGGGAATTAGGATGTAAACGTGTGTTAATAAGTAGTGATTGGTATTCAACATTACAAAAATCAAATGTAAAACTTATAACAGATCGTATTAAAGAAATTAAATCACATTCAATTATCACTCAAAATGGAGATGAATATCCAGTTGATATTACTATTTGTTCAACCGGATTTCAAACACAAAAATTTGCATTACCTATTTATGGAATTCATGGTTATTCATTAGCGGAACAATGGTCTGAAACTAAACAGGTAAATTTATTTCATATAAATATGTATATTTATATGAGTATATTACAATATTTTGGTACGATTTTCTTCCAGTATTATTCTTTAGTTTATATTATCCCCGATAAAATGAACTGTGTACTGTGAAAAAATTGTGGATTGTGAATGTGGATGTGTCAATGAAGTACTCAGACTCACACCCACACCCTCCTTATAGAGATTAGAATGTTCTGTCGAATTATATCTTTTTCTATTTTCATGCTCATTTATCCGAATTATTGTATGACAGACACTTGATCATTTTCATGCAGAGTGAGCTTATTTTTCAATCTTCGTCATCTTTCTACAAACAAGTTGAAGAAAAGAAAATCTTCCTTTTCAGTACGGAAAGAAAACAATCTTTTTCTAAACGTTCGAGTTTTACTCACTTTTATTACGAATAACTTCAGTATAACTTATCTTTTTTCAATCGAATTTTTATCTTAGATTTATTTTTTAGAGTTGTTTACCTGTCTATATGTTATCGCTCTCGAGACATTCGCATGATATATGAAATGTAGACTGACTTTCTGTGAAAAATGATTTAAAATGACTAGAAATAGAAATTGGAAGCTATTCTCCTCTTCTCACAGACCATGGCAGATGTTGTTGATCTAAGATAATAAAAATAAAAAAAAAAACTTTAATAATAACGTATTTTTTCTATAATGTTAAGCAGTTAGTTCAAATTCAGAGAGAAATTTTAATAGTCAATGGAGTCTTCTATCTAATGCATTTCATATCAAGATTTCATATGATAAGATATCTAAAAGTTGGGACACGATCATTTTCAAGTTCCAAAAGACGTTTCTTTTTAACAATGCCATTGTAAAGAGTGCAAAATGAGATGTCACCGCATTTTCTATGACCTTCTATAAAAAGTAACAAGAAATTGTAAAAGAATGAAATTTATGAAAAATCACTAAAAAATTTTTTTGTAATCCTTTTTACTTTTTTCAGAGGAAGTCATAGAAAATGCAGCGATTCCTCGTTTATTTCAGAATTTCATGCGTGTTAAAATAGTATTGATAAAAAACAGTCTTCTGGGCCCTGAAAACTACTGTGTTGGATTTTTTAGCTGCGTTTTTTTTTTGCCATTGTAAAAAGGAGATGAACTCGCATCGAATCATATATTATAGGTTCTTCTAAGATGTTTTCTGACGTTTTTTTTAATCAAATTTATGAAACTATGTCGAAAAAATGGTTTCTTCTAACCTACGAAAAAAAGCAAAAATGTGAGTTTTTTTTACCACAGTTGCTTGAAAAATCTGAGACGTGTGTAGTTTTGTAGATCTTCCATTGACGAATCGAATACGTATCTGGTAATTGAAAATTCTCTATAGTTACTTCAAAGGATACATTAGCTCTCAAAGAGGTCGATTGAAAATCTTGCAACAACATGTAATATATGATTTCGTGTATCTTCATCTTCTCTTTCTAAAGATGAAAATTGTAGCTCTCTATCGCGTTCCTATTCAAAGTTATTGAAAAGATTCATTTTTTTTCCAATGGGCATTACTTCCTTATGAAGCACATTTCTAAAGGGTTAGCTAAAACGATAGTGAAGTTTTGCGTCAATCGTACCAAAATGTTGTAACACACTCATATATTTTATACAGTAAAACCTCTATTAGTGAACACTTTTCTACCTTGAACATAAACACTGTTTTTACAGTCTCAGTCACTACCTGCGCCTCTCTTAGATGCATACATGTGAATTTTTTTCTCAATCGATTCTGGATAATGTATTAAAACTGACTGTTAGTAACAAGAAAAAAAAGAATATTTTTATCATTATCAAACAAATTAGAATCAAAATATAAAATAATAATGCAAAAGTTTTGATTCAATAAAACAAACACAAATAACTATAGAAGACTTTTTAAAATCGAGCCTTTTTTTTGTATTTTCGAAAAGTTTTTGGATTTGAATGAATTTAAATGAAATAGTATGAACAAAACGGAAAGTGATCTCTAATTGTTTAAGAACTAGAAAAAAAATTCATCTTTTAAAAATTTATTTCATTTTTTTGGTAAAATATATTACATCTTCCATAGATGAACACTTTTTAAAAGTCTTGACGGTGTTCACTCAAGAGAGGTTTTATCGTATATTTGAATGATACGTTTAATTTGTAAGGCATATCGTGGTATAACTGTGCCTAATTTTCCAAATTTGTTTATTCTCCTTGGACCTAATTCTCGCATTAGTCATTCATCTGTGATAATCATGCTTGAAGCTCAATTAAAATATATAGTCGAAATTCTTCTTTATATTAATAAGAATAATATACGATCATTTTCAATAAAACAAAATGTGCATGACGCATATAATCAATGGATACAATCGAAATTAAAAAAGACAGTATGGCATCTAGGTGGTTGTCAGTCATGGCATCAAAATGCAAAAGGTATTGTTACAACAATATGGCCAGATTTTACATGGATTTATTATTTATTAATGAAAAATTTTGATTATCAAAATTATATTTTAGAAAAATAATATTATTATACGTATATATAGGATGTTTCATAAGTCTTGGACCATGATAAAAATTAGTTCTTATGCAAATACAAAATGATCTCGAGCTGAATGTTCTTATATGAGATTAGAGTGCTCGCGACGCCCTTTGAAATGGCATATTATTGGGTGATACCTTCTCATATAATAATAAAAATATAAACATCAGAATGTGATGATAAATTTTTTGAAATCGAACCATTCAATTTTTACTAGATAGTTTCATAGTTAAACAACAGAAAATGTTCAGAAAATTTTTCTTTCTATCAGACTTTGTAGAGCATTTTGCTTT